TGAAACAACATGCAGATGTACACCTTGAATAGCAGTTTTTTTTATATTCGAAAATTGCAACTGTAGTTTTAGATCGATGAAAGCGCAGATAAAGTGATAAGATAGAAAAGATATTTGATTTGAACATTTTTTGGTTTTTGATCGCACAATTAATACACATGTACATTGTGTTAGTCAATGGGTGATGAATAACATTGCATTTTTAATGGACAAAAATTGTAATGATTTTAGTTTAGTGTCAAAACACATATGGTCATAACCGATTAATACTGGTCAAATAAAATAAGTTATAAATATACACTGTAATGTTAAACAGCAAATCATATTTTGGTATAATATTATGTTACATCATATAATTATCATATAAGTCAAACTAAGCTTGAATGTTATTTCTTAAAAGCATATATTTACTTATAATATCTGTACATTATTTATAGATCTTATTTCGACTTTTTCACTGAAAATTTTATATAGAATTAGACAATAATCATCAAAATATCACTTTCATAAGAGTGTAGACGAAACTTGAAGTTTAAGTTAATCGAAAAATAACAAGTTCAATATAACACTATATCATTTATTTTCTCCCACACTGAAGAACCTGAAAGCCGGATATTCAATATTTTTTATTGACATTTATATAACATTCTCAGAAAAACAACAATCTGTAATTATTTTATCTAAATTTTAATCTAAGACACAAGAAATGTAAATTTATTTTGAAAATGGCATTTCAATTTATTCATTAATTCATTTACTTCGTAACAGGAACATTCTACCCCTCACAAACATACCCAACTGTCCGCCACCCCCCTCCCTTATTTATATTGATGGGGTCTCAATTCTCAAAGATATAAATTTTGAAACATCATCACAAATTTTATACCCATCTGTTTACAAACTCATTTTGATTTTCCCTAAAAAAAGTTATTTGTTCATCTCTTGAGACTTGAAGAAAGAACAAATATCAAATTTGTAATCAATTATTATTTCAAACAAACAAACAAAAAAATGAAAATTACATTCTTTTTTTCACAAGTTCTAATAAACATATTAATTTATCCAAAGGCCATCTGAATATCCAAATAAGTCATAAATCATCCAATTAACTGTCCCATTTCTGTCATTTTTTAGGTTCCTCATCAAGTAACGGGACAAGATTTAAATATGTGATGAAGAAAAGACAACGATGAACCCGTTGTATGAGATAAATTGAAAGTAACAAGAGTCCGAATAAAAAAATTGAATCAAGTTACGGTTCATAGAAAATCAGATGATTCTAAATGAAATAACATAAATAACGTCGCCAACTGTGTTTAACACACAGGCAAATGGCCGGCTATTAAGTTTTAAAAGTTAACGGGTAATATGTGACGTAGATTAAGTCCGCGATACAGAGATATGCATATGGCCAAAATCTGTACAAGGTCTGTCAAAAGTCAAAACGAGAAAAAATTTTGTTAAACAGATGTTTGCATTTTTACTCTGTCGTCAAAATGTCGTTAAAATCCCGGTAGTTTATGTCGGTGATATTTAACTGTACGAAGAGCAATTTTAGTAATTATATTAGTTTTTTCAATACCTGCTCAATTTTTATGGCTTCTTCTACGAGCCGACAATGTGTTCAAAGTTGAAATGAAATTCAGATAATTTCAAAAGAATAGAAGAAGATTTTAACAAAAACGACGAAAGAACTTAATCATCAATTTTGTTATGAATTTTAAACTTCTATTCAACAAAACTTAAATTGGCATATAACTTGTAATTATTCCAATTTTAGAAAATTAGGTTTTGAAAATTACGCAGTAGAGGTACATTTGTATTCTTACGACCAACAAGACTTCACCTTTCAATAAACCTTAATAGAAGAATGCTACGATATTTGACCTAGATAAATAAATTCGAGACTTTAATAATCCATTTAAAAATGATATCTAATTCAAATTTGAACCTGTTATTGAAATTACCTAATATGCTCAATTAAATGAGAATAAATGATCAAATGCTAATGATGATATCGTTACATTTACGTAATATTATGTAACGTTTGGTTATTCTATTTAAATGTTTATAAAATTTATGAAAACACTGTTGCTTATCTGTAATTTCAGTAAATTTCATAACATCACAGTAAATTTCATAACATCGGTTAATCTGAGGCCCACATGGAAGATCAGAAAACCGGATGTGTAAGCCTCATTTAATAAAGACGTTTACTTACTTACTTACCGGTACTAATCTTATATCAATGACTCATGTCATTGGTTAATTTTGAATCATCAGTGAATTTTATGATATACAATGAAGGTTAATTTTCACATCATTGGTTGATTTTTATACTACAGTCCGACCCCGGTTATTCGACAACCCTTTATTCGAATACCCGGCATTATCCGAAGTAGTTCTCCGGTCCCGTTTTTATCTCTATATAAAACAATATAAATACGAGCGTATCATTCGCAATGCATTATCCGAATACCTCCTATTTTTCGAAGTAAAATTTCGGTCCCGATTATACAATAACGAAAGAATTTCACACCTATTATTCGAAGCCAGCCTAATTATTATTCGAAGCTAGACTAATTGATGCAGATCCACTCGCTGACCAGTCGACTTGTGAAAAATATCCACAGTCATGCGTGTAATTAGACAATCACGATAATAACACTTCGTGTGTTCTTTAATTAACGAAAATGAAAAGCTATGCACCGTGTCCGATTTTGTTTAAGATGACAGCAATAATTTCTATACATTCCGTATATGTGAATTTGTCAAAACATCAAAAACATTTTTTTCATTAATTGTAACGCTACATGAGAGCCTTAATTTATCCTAATCGAAAATACCAGAGTTTAGCTGTAAATACCGTAGTGACGACACGGCCATTATCAAGGCTTTGCGCGAAACGAAACAATACATAATGTAGAATAAAATGCAAGTATTTATGTCTTAAATGTCAATACAATAATTTTTACGCATCTTTTCTTTAATATCTATTTTTCTCAATTGATTACAGGAAGCAAGTGTGTTGTAAACGGTAGTCTTGCGGTGATTGGTCAAAGTGGAGTAGTTTTCGTCTATCACAATATTCCGATTTCGATTATTCGAACCCATCGATTATTCGAAGTAAATATTCAGTCCCAGGCACTTCGAATAAACGGGGTTAGACTGTATTGGTTAAGTTAATATCTTCAGATAATTTCGTATAATCATTTGACTTTATATCATTAATTATTATCATTGTCGGTCAACTTAATAATTATCATCTGTTAATTTTTTATCAATTAGAATAAATAACTTAAAAAAAACAAAACACATCTAGTTCTATATCAGATTGATATGTTCTCTTAAAATGTGATGTAGCACCTTAAAAGAACTGAAAAGCAGCTCATTTCTAAGCACAAAATAATAATACATGTATTGTCTAATATTGAAAAAACCACCGCATAGCACCTTTAATTAGTCATGTAGCAAAATAGTGGGTTTGTTTTTTTAATTTTTGTTTTCATTAATGCATAAAAATATTTTGTTTTAGTTATCTTTTATCCAACAACATTTTACTGAGATGAAAAACACATCTGCTTAATTTTTTTTCAAAACTGTCACGAGAATTTCTTCTTTTTTTTTTTAAATTACGATACCTGAGCTGGAATTCACGTGACCGGCATATGCTTCCAAAAAGGTAAACAACGCAAAATTAAAATAATTACCCCATGTACGCCTGCTTCGAACCACAGGTATTAAAAACTTGAATTATTTCCAGATTTATGAAATATTTACTATTACACAGATAGAACAACTATAATTTTCTCAGAGGGGGTAATTTTGCGACTGAAACACTGGGAAAAATGCATGTGTGATTTTAAAACAAAAGGAATTAAACTAATCTTGGTTTAATACTATACATTAATTAGATCAATATTTGAATTTGTAGTATTAAAGATCAGACAAGACACAGTATCAGGTACTCAGTGCAAAAGGGTTATAACTCATTTGACATAAAGATGGAGTTACAACCCTTTCGCACCAAGCAGTCGAAAATTATGTTCCTTCAGATTTTTTTTTTCTTTCTTCAACTTTAACATCTTTGAAGTGTTTAATTTGAAATATCTCTGTCGAGATTTTGGAATGAAATGCACTCATTGAATTGTCAGAATTGACACCCAAGTCTTTATAGATATAATACATAATTTTTAATTATACTATAACCTGGGTTTGTACCTGTGCAACCCGGCCAAAAATGATCACATGTTTTTTTTTTTTTTTTGTTTTTTTAATTTCAAACACACAGTATTGACTATATTAATTTACAATAAGTCTATGCCAATTTCATCAACTTAAAGTTTAAGTGCACAAACTGTAACCTAGAGTGTGGGATACATTATTAAAACAACATTAATGAAGTACAAGGAAATACAAAGCTGGTGAAAGGACCATTAGATGAAAATCTTGTTTTAAAATCTCTTTTGATGAAAATAGGGCAAGTTGAAAAGCAATTTTAAAATGCTTAAATCTGTCTGTATGGTATATGCCAAGTTTTGAAACAAATCACAAATTCACATCATTTTTTTCGACACTGTGAGCTAAAAGAAGTAACTTCAGTAATTAAATACTGTAACAATGTCCTATGGCTTCATAAAAAGGAAATGCCGTCACCTTTGTGCAGTAACATGTTAACTGCTTATATAATTTAATAGGAGTTAACCGGTAACGGCACAAAAGTGACGATGCATTGATTTAAGATATTTGACAATGTCCTGTTCTGGAATTATTTGGAAAATTTCCGTTTTCTAATTTCAGGAATTTTCAATATGAAAATAAATCTATTAAGCAGCAAACTGTGTCTGGTTGAACTTTGGAGTAGCCTTATAGGTTATTTATGCAAATCACATGATCCATGGACAGAGAAACAACATTGGAGTGGCCTTATCATTATAGGCCTAAATGCGGCTTACATGACCCATGGGCAGAGAAAACAAAAGCATGGTTCCTGGTCTTACCTTGAAAATAGCTTTTAGCTCTGAGATAGCTGACACCCAGTCTCAGAATGGAGAGCTTGTCTAGTTTTGAGATCACACTTTGCTCAAATGGTAACAGGCTTGCCAGGTGGTCGAGTTCTCCATTAAGGCGCTCTCGATGCCGTTTGCTTGGGTTACTCTTTGGCGGATCTTTTGTCGGAGTCTTCACACTGCAATGTATAAAAGATTTTTATATACATGTAATAAAATCCCATTTTGTAACCCCAATTCTTTCAGTAACCATAATATAATTCTTTGTATGTGAATTACTGTATGAAGAGATAATTCCATGTGTCGAAAAGTTAGTAGATTCAAAATTCCAGATAATTCGAATGAGAAAAATTAGGGAATCGTGCCATGACAGGTTGGTTGATATTTACGCAAGAGCAAATTTTGGCGATTTCTGTCAATTCGCGAAATTCGCAAATATTACTGCATCACTAATTTAACCATTTATACAGTATGTCTTTCTGTAGAAAAGTGAAAAAAAAAGATAATTAGCCGTATTTTGAGACATTATGTTTCAACAAAAACATGAACTTTAAATGCAGTGTCTGAATACGAGATCAAACATAGCTGAAACTTGATGCCGAAATTGCCGTGAATAATTACAGAGACGCTGTAAAAAAATTATAAAGTCTGATGCCTTCGGTACCAATTAAATTATTATCAATATCATAATAAGTCTCACATTATTAGGTTTGTAAATATTACTTTGAATCACCACCTCTTAATTAAAAAAAAAGTAAAGGGATCGAACCTAGAAAATAACCTTTATGATTCTAAAGAAAGGATGAAGATCATTACAAAAAAGAAAAGAATATCAGATTTTTTAAAAAATGTTTGAGTAACTCTTGCTCTTCGGGATGAAGTCTTCTTTGATAATTAAAGACACATCATGCCTCCTGACAATCAAGTGATATCAAGTGCCACTGAATAGGACAACTTAAACATTTCAAGTGCCACTTAGACAGTGAATGGGACAACTTAAACATTTCTAGTGCCACTTGAACACTATACCAACCATTTTACAACAACAAAACAAATAGCTGAGGACACTTTATACCAACTGCCTCTTTCAGAAACAAATATTATCCACAGACTGTTTAACAGTGAACCAATTCTTTTGAAAATGCTTTTTCTGTTTTACTCAGGTTTAATCCTATTGAAAATGCTTTTTTCCGATTAAATGATTCAAGTCCAGATGAAAATAACTTTTTCTGTTTTATTTTTACCATGAAATTGTTTAGTTTCAGTGTTCATTATTAAATATGGAGATTATTATACTGATTGTACTACGATCTACAAAATTTTTACAAATTATACTCAATTTATTATAAATTCATCCAAAAACTTATCCCAGTTGGTGTAACAAATTGATTCATTGGCAGCAATGAAAACAATTATTTTACATTCAATCCAATTATTTATATTTAAAAAAGGATAATATTCAGTATAGAGAGTTTTCTCATTATTAGCTCTTGTCATTGGTCAATTTGAATTAACTGACTTTACAGCAACCAATCAGCTGAAAGAGTTGCTCCTCTAGCCTCGAAGCCAAAGTTTTACAGAATAAAATTCAGGTTTTCTAGTGCCTTGCATCTATGGTATGTTATTTAATCAAACTGATAATACATATAGGCCCATTTTCTAGTACATTAATTACATGTTAACAATTTTATTGCCCATTTTTAACAATGAAATATCACAAATAAACAGCATATTTAATTAATCATATTGCTATAATGTAACGAAATTTTTGCAGATGTTTCGGGACTGGCATACCATTTCCAACGTGAGATTTCAAAGGTCTCGGGCACACTGCAACAATTATCTCGTCTAATTAAGATGTGACAGCTACAGCAATGATTCCCTGTTTAATTATTCACATTTCATTGAAGTTGCAGTAAATTTTCATCCAGATCAATAGGAAACTAGTGGCATTGATTTCAAATTCATTGAAATACACTTCATTTTATTGTTCTGTCAATGGAAATGTACATTTACTAAAGCTATAAAGGGAATTTTCCTCATCGTTACTCAGATGTATCTTTTTAATGTATACGTTATTTCTCTGCACTTATTGTAATCATCTTTTTTTGACAAATGCAACTTGGATTTGTATACTTCAACATTTCAACAATATTTTTTAGCTTAGTATCAATACAAGGATTCAGAAAAAAAAATCTGCATTATCAGTTTTAGATACATGTAATTTTCAAATTTGGTAATGATTCCTGTACATCAAAATAAATTTCTACATACGTTTTGAGTAAATCGACCATTATAGATGTCTAAAGATCATTATCTAAATTGTTTTGGACTAGGCTGCATTACTCATTTATATTTCATATTGTTTTTTACTTCTCCATTGAGGTGTGGCTACATCAGAAGGGAAAAATTTATTAGCAAACAATAGTAACAGATTTTTATTAACATAATTTTAACACTCAGCATTATAATTACTGAAATATTAATCTTATGCTGTAATTATTTTATATATTTTCATGTCATTTTTGTGTCTCAATAGGTGTGTTGCTTTATAAGAAAGGACAAAATTGTTAGTAAACAAAACTAACAGATTTTTATAAACATAATTTTCACAATCAGCAATATAATTACTGAAATATTCATGCTGTAATTATTTATTATATTTTCATGTTGTCGTTTTTGTTTCTCTATTGTGGCTTCTACAGAATTGAAAAAATTTGTTTAAGTAAACAAAAGTTACAGATTTTTATAAACATAATTTAAAAAAATCAGCAATGATTACTGGAGTACCGGTTTTTAATCCCAACAAGCTCTTTGATTGAAGTAAATAAGAAAATGTCCTTTTTTATAAAAAAAACATCATTAAAACTGGCAACTAGTTGGAGAATTAACATTTAGAACAAACACAGAGGATTGTTACAGACGCTCACTAACATTAGCCTTAGTTCAATAATTAAAACTCATATAATAGAAATAATATTTGAACGAAAACATGACAAGGTCTTGTTTAATTAAATGAACATGCGTTATAGTAGCAGCTCTGTCACTTTTTACCCAGAATTCTAATGGTCTCCCTGAAATTTGATACTCATTTCCTTAACAGATTTCTTTGAAAATTATCTAAAACCCGATACTATTTCAATAACAACTTTCGCATTCAATTTTCTTTTGACGACTGCAAGATTGTGAAGTTTTAATTACAATTAATTGATTAATACATTTCTTGCAGAGACCAAAACACAGTATAGAATATGAGAGGGAAGTGGGGAATCTCAGACGTAAATCTAACGGGGGATGCCGCTTGAAACAGGAGTAGAAACAAGGAATTTATTTCTAAAATATAAAAATAACAAAAAGAGCATTAATTTTTAACCCTTTGTCTGCCTTGTGGCAACTAAATATACATATGTGACGAGTGTAGACCAACTTTAGCCAGCAAATTTGTGCCATCTGCTAATGGTCTGCACTGGTCGGTATTCAGTCAGAAATAATTTTGAAATTTTTGCTAAAATTGATGAAACTGATTCTGCATATTGAAAGATGGACAAGTCCATTTGAGCCGCATCACAACAAAACCAACATAATAGGTTTGCGACCAGCATGGATCGAGACCAACATGCGCGGTTTTGTCATGACGCAGCTCATTTAAGACATTTAGCACAGCAGCATGTCTCAAGATTTTAATTGTCATGAAAACCTTTTAAGAATGTATTTAAAAGTAAAATATTGTGAAGCTAACAAAGACAGCATTACAGTAAGACTGACAATTACCGTAACTTTCATGATGTCAGTACGACTTTCAGGTAAACAATATCTTAAAAGTACTAAAATGAGATTTGCTTTTTTTTACTTAGAAGGTAATACTATCAACTCATCATCCTGATTATTTCAAAAAGTTCAGTAAGTGCTTTTTTGACTTCTGATAGAAAAATTTGCTGTTTCATTCCTTCCTGCTATATAATTATGTGACTATAAAACCCATACTTTAAACTCAGGGGGGAGGGGATAAGCACTCGTCAAAAATCCAGAATAAATAAAACTTTATGGTCAACCTAAAATAGTTGTATCAATTAAGTTTAATAAAAAGAACAGGTTGGCAAAATAATTGTGTTGGTATTATTTCTGAATTTTGTAAAAAAGTAGCTTAGAATGGACCAAAACAAAGTTATGATTAAGTTACTATTTAGTTTAGAATAGGACCAGTCAATTGAAGAATACTGGACCAGTCAGTGTTGTTGAATATTGCACCAGTCTGTTGTGTTATATTGATACTTTTTCAATATATGATGGACCAGTCTATTGTAGAATACTGGACCAGTCTGTCATTGAATATTGCACCAGTCTGTTGTGTAAAATTGATACTTTTTCAAGATATAATACCAATATTTCATAAGCTATAGATAAATTTGACAAATTTACTGTCAAATTACTGTCTTTTTTTTAAAAATGCACTTTTTAAACAAAACAAAAACAACATACAAACAGAAAATTCTGAAAAAGTCTGACCAAACTTTATAACACTGGTGGCTTCTAAATTTCCTTTTGATACCCCTAACCTGTAGCCTGACGGCAGGAACTATACTAACCCATACGACCAGTGCGAACAAGATCTTCCACGCCATCTGATCATGGTCTGCACTGTTTGCTATACATACATTGGTTAGTTCGAAAATTTCCCTAAAAATAATAACCTGTTTTGTCCAGATTGAAAAATGGATATTAAGATATATAGCGTTGTAAGGTTAATCTAAAAGCGGGGAAATGTGCCAAAAAAATGAAATGAGGACAATCACGTCCAATTTACAGAAATTAAGCAACGGGTCCAAAAATATTCTAACTTTATAATATAATACAAAAAAAGACTTTCCAAGATATTCACACACATATGAAAAAAAACAACCTAACAAACTCTTGCGTTTACAGTGTGGTACGTCTGGGTGATTATAAAGGTTTCCTCATCACGATATATTTCTCGGAACAAAATGGAGGCGAGACATGCGATATGTCCATATTTCTTCCGGCGAAAAATGTCTTCTATGTTAAAAGGGATAAAGAACTATAGAAATGATGAATGTAAAAGCGTTACAAATTGCCTGCTTTGCAAATTGCTAGCTCTATATAGTTCATAGCTTGTAATGCTTTTTAGCAAAACATCTTTGCATTAAAAGGCAAAACTATA